GTTCTATGTGTTTTATTGAAAACCAGAAATAATTCGCTATGCAGAATAATTATTAAAGAAAAGCCTTATGTTTTTGCAGACCTCAAATTTGTGGTTACTAATCGAAAATTAAATATGGTGGCTATAGAGGTCTAAAAATTTAATGTTTTTGATTGTTTGCCAAACACATATTCATTTTAAAAAAACCTTTTAAACAGGATAAATATATTAAAAATATTTATTCACCAAGTGGTTTTGGAGAAACACAAATTGCTGCAAATATTATTGCTTGTAGAGATGAGAATATACATGCCACTAATAATGAGGAATCTGTTGATGAGACCATATTTGCTATATGCGTTCTTTCAATATACATAACATTTTACAAGACAGAGATTCCTGCAAAATATTGGACTGAACTTAGTCGTGGTTTACCAAAAACAGATATCATTGTTAAGAGATGGCTAGGAGAAAATGCTAAGCGGAAAAGTCTAGATTTAGTAGAACCAAACAGGAGAAAAGCAGTACTAGACGCATTAGCTAACATTCGTAAATTTCTTCTGCACTATGAACAACCTGGTATATATATAATAAATGTTTAAATGATATAAAACATGTAAATGATTTATTTTTTTTAAAAAAAATAGAGATGAGTGATGAAAATACACCAGCCACATCAATGCTAAATGCATCACTTAAAAAAGATGATGAATAATGCTAGAAAAAATACATGATCTGTAAGATTTATGGTGTCTTAATTTTCTGCTGATTCTATATATCTCAACATTTATACTAATCACTTAAAAGTGTATTTAAAAGCCTTTTAACTATGTATATAATACAATTATTGTGCATATATTTAGAATAGTTAGTTGGGAATAATGTGTATTAATGTAAGCGCATGAAAAACTTGTGGTCTGCACTCTGTAGCCATTAATAGTGAAACACCATTTTACTTTCTTTTAAAATAAATCTATGTATTATTAAACATATAATATCTTTTCTGCATCAATAAAGCCACATCTGATAGTGATATTTTATCACAGGTTATATCTAGTATTATAAATTCAAAAAAATTTTATTGGCACAAATGTAACAAAATATGCACAAAAAAGAAATTTATATGCGT